CCCCAGAATATGTTCGGTGTGTTGCACAACTTATTGGACTATACACGCAATCTTTTGAAGTAATAAAAAAAATACATATTTCAATTCCTTACTAAACTGTGATTCAATTGGTAGTGATTTTCTGTGGAAAATCGTGTGTTTTTCCTCGCCACTTCTAGTGGTTGTCAAAAAGTACCTTTTTATTGTGGTTGTTTTACTTCATGTGAAATCTTGCTCCTGCAGGAGGCCTGAATATTGTAGTTTTATAATCTTTAATAAATTTCGTTCAAACCCAACATTTTTTTTTTTTGGGTTTTCACGAATCTTATGTTCAAATTGTACAGAGGATTTATGTCAATACTCGAGTGATCACGATCCTACGGCTTGGTGCTATCTGGACCTGAACGAGCTCGCGCTAGATAATTCAAATCTGAACGAGTTTTGGAATGCTCATCTAGCACACGGAGAGGTGCCATCTGACGACGACCCAGGTCGCATAGCCATCGCGGGGCTGTTAGTGGAAGAAGAGTCGGAAGCCTGATCAACGTCGAAGGAAGAAGAGGAGGCATCAGTACCCGAGCCCCAGGAGGCTCCTCCGGTCTGAGCGCCACCTGCCGTACGAGGAGGATCTGCCCTGAACCCCGAAGTCCCCTCTGACGCCGCCAGCCGTCACAATGACGCAGAATCCTTTCGCCGTCGCCGCTCTCGCTCACCATCTCCTTTCTCCTCCTCCCCCTCCACTCTTTGTCCCCGTCCTCCTCCCCACACGGGCGCTCCGTCCTCGTCCCATCTACCGCCGCCCTCTTGATTATCATTCCTTTTATCCTCTTCTCCATATCAAATTCCCCCTAACCTATCGCATATTCGCCAACCAGCTCTTTTGCCACCACTTTGCTGTGCGACTCCTGTGCACAGTCTTTCCACACCGCTTCCCTTCTTTCCCTCTCAACATCCTTCTTTTCAGTGTCGCATGGAGACAATACAACCATATGGAGTTGTGTTGCATTGTCTCCGGAACTTTTTCCGTGGTAGAGGACTATGAATCTCTATGCGATAATGTTCTCTGGACTATCCCGACCCTATATCCCGACTATCTCCTCTCCCTCTCTCGGCCCAACCATCGATTCCCTCGGGCTCACCGAATTGCCCACTTTGTCCATCTCGGTGGCGAAGCCTCCGATTTCTTTCCTCCCCTCCCAACTGAATGGCCTAGACCACTCCATCACCCTCTCCTCGTCAACTATCGCTGGTCGGATTTCCAGTGATGAAGCAAAACAGACGAGATTCGGCGGACCATGATAGCGTCACCTGGACGACCTCCGCCAATCGAAGAAGCAAGGAGTTGCACATGACAAGGCTGGATGGTAGAGAATCTGCAAACCAACACGAATCATCATGAAGATCCTGCAATTGAAGTTGGCGTCAACATGGATTCTGGCCCGATCTGGTGCTGATACAAAATCCTGCCCATTATGATACGCTCGGTTCCTCGTTCATCCCTTCGCCCCCTTCCTCCTCCTCCGACATGTAAATTGACTTTCGTGCATGCAATCAGGAGATCGCATAATTTTGGAACCCCCTGAGCGTCACATATGTGACGCGCCAACTTCCGGACCTGCGCTATCTTCCGCCTTCCCCCCCCTCTGTCTTTGTCAAATTTTGTTAACAGCCTGACGAGGCCTCTTTTTGTATTTTCATGAATGTAATATGCGGGACCTTCGGATCAATTTTTTGAATTTTGTCTTTTGCATATTCAGTAATTATATAGGAATTACGCGCGCCTTAGCGAGCACGCTAGGAAATTGGGTCGATGGTTAGGAATTCCGGAATGGGCGGAATCTGACGTGTCTTTTTTTGCGCATAAATGTTCTCAACTTCGTTTTGAAAAGCTCTGGGAATTTCGCAGGAATCTGAATAGGCATAGGACTTTCTTCCGCGCGTGCTGTACCGCGACACACACACACACACACACACACACACACACATGTGATGCTGCTGTAGAGCCGCCCCCTGAATGTTTTATTTTTTTTGTCCTCTACTATTTTTCCTGGGGGAGGGGTGGGGTGTGCCACCACACTCCGCCCCTTCCCGATTTTTTCCAGGACCCCCATTTCTGGGGGTGCGCCGCACTTCATGCGTGCGCATGGATGCAGGTGTGCTATGCGCCACGCTTGCGGCATGCTCGCGCACAAAGTGAGCCGCATCTTTGCTTTGTATTCCTTTGCCCCCAAACGGGGCAAAACGTGCCACAGGCCCCAAAATGACTTTTGGTGTCATTTTTGCACCCTGTAAAACACTTTCCTGCTATTTTTGCACAAGGAGCATTACCGGGCCAGCCAGGGTGCGAAAAGGACACGAAAAGTCATTCTTGGGCCTGCGGCACCTTTTGCCCCGTTTGGGGGGAATGAATACAAAAGTTTTTTTTTTTTTTTTTTT